TGTTGGAGCATTTTAGGACCCCTACACTCTAAACCCCTAAACCGCTAAACCCTAAACCCCGAACCCCCAAACCCTAAACCCCTAAACCCCTGAACCCTAAACCCTAAACCCTGAACCCTAAATACTAAAGCCTAAACCCTGAACCCTAGACCCTAAACCCTGAACCGTAAGGAACCGAAACTCAGCACGCTGGACCCCAGACCTTTGGGACATGGCGAGTGGCGACGGAGGGGCGAGGGAAGGAGTGAGGGATCGTGCTCTTGAGCCAACAGGACCCCCATAGGGTGTAGGGTTCAGGGTTTTCAGGGGTTTAGGGTTTAGGGGTTTAGGGTTTAGGGTTTTCAGGGGTTTAGGGTTTAGGGTTCAGGGTTTAGGGTTTAGGGTTTAGGGTTTAGGGGTGTAGGGTTTGGCGCGTAGCAAAAGCACACTAGCAAAGACTTAGGATGGGGATACCCCACATAAATCCCATGACAAGGAAGCCCAATATGGTAGGGATATCCATTTAAAATGTGTGTGCTTATGTCCTCCTTGCATCCCTAGAAGAATGGGAGGCAAAGATGAGTCGTGCCAGGGTATCGGCTTTAGGGGCTTAGCGCTGTAGGGTTGAAGGTTTGGGGGGGGTTTTGAGGCTTTGGGCAATGGCATTGGGCTTAGGCTTTAGAGGTTCGGGTGTCCTGAAGAGAAGAATCCTCGGGGACTGCAATGAGACGCCAATCGCCAAGACGGACAACATCAGAAACCCTAAAACCTAAAAGCCAAGCGGAGCACCAAATTCATATACAAGCCTGAATAATTACCAAGGATTCCTACTTTTGCTAAACTACAATATAACCACGAAACCCAAGTCTAATGGTCAAGGCTCTGTATCATATAACCTTTATAGAACCATTCTAGGAGGTCTTAACCGAAGCCTATTCCAATGATTACGGCCCTTATTATATACTTCGGGCTACCACGATACTGCGTGCTTGACCAGGAACTGAACTTTACGTTACCATGTTGGGATCTATAACAGATGATATGGCTTCCTCATAGTGATAACTTGCAACAAAGCCCTAAACCCTAAACCCTAAACCCTAAACCCTAAACCCTAACCTCCAAAGCCTAACGAGAACCCAGGGCACGAGGTTCCTAGAGCCCACAGGTTGGATGATTTCGGGTTTAAGGTTTAGGATTTAGGGTTTAGGGTTTAGGGTTTAGGGTTTAGCTTCTATGGGTTTAGGGGGGGCCAGAGGTCTCGGCGTCGTTTTCTCTCTGTGGTCATCAGGTCGCGAGACCCGAAACCCCAAACCCTAGACCCGAAAACCCTTATAAACCCCCAAAACCCCGGAAACCCCCAAACCCTAGACCCGAAAACCCTCAACACCAAACCCGAAAACCCAACACCCAACCCCCTGCTCCCCAAAACCCCGAAAACCCCAAAACCCCAGCCCCAGGGCCCCGGCCGAGGTTCCGGAGCTCCTTGAAGAGGAACTTGTAGGCCTTAGGGTTTAGGGTTTAGGGTTAGGGCGGAGATCAAATGCTTGTAGTATGGGGACCTTACCAAACCCGAGTGTTCTATAACGGGTTCTAGAAGGGTTGTTGTCAGGGATATCATAAGTCTCTTAGTAGTGGGTGCTAACAATTATTAGAACAGGGCTTTGGAGGTTGTGGCGCAGTACCCTGAACCTTGCCACCTTTTTGGGGCTTGGGCCTGCCACCTATATTAAGTTCAAGCAGAGGAAGGACGGAGGACGACGTCTGGACGAAACAACGATGCTTGCCGTCGCAGGACGACCAGCCAAGAATCTCCCTAAACCCTAAACCCCAAACCCTAAACCCTCAACCCTAAACCCTAAACCCTAAACCCTCATCCCTAAACTCCATATGTCGGGCGTCAGATTGGAGGCTTGCTGTTTCTTAAACTATAGAGCTCAGGGTAGCCATATTAGGAATGCTAGCGGTCAGCCACCCAAAGCCCTTAACCTTAACCCTAGACCCAAAACCGTAACCCTAAAGCCCCCAACCTTAAACCCATGGTCAGCCACATAATGGAAAGGACATGAACTATGCTCAAAGCTTCTCTTGGATCTTAATATAGGGACCATGATGATTTCAATAGGGTTTGGGGGTATATTGTCGTATGGTTGCAGAGTGCATAGGGACTACGACGGAACACTGCTTCTTTTATTCAGATGGTGCAAAGTCCTCCTAGGACGTACCACTCGAATAACGAATTCAAGACGTAAAACAAAACGACAGAGTGGAGGGCACAGGCAGAAACACTGCCCTAAACCCTAAACCCTAAACCCCATTAGCTTACAAGCTCAATGAAAACCTCTGCCTTCCTGGAGCCACGGCTAGGGTTTAGGCGTGCAGGGTCTTGAGACTGGAGATGGAGATTTGTGGTTGCTACAACAAGAATAATTATCAAGGTTCCTACGAGGGCCAACGCAAGAGCGGCTATAACTCATCTATTCTTGTTAATGTCGTTGATGGACTGCGGCGGAAGGTTAAGGGTAGGGACCAAAGCACGAGAAAAGACATTCTTCGAAATTTCTCTTAATCCCAAACGGCAGAAGCCCGCTTGTATGCCAGCGGAGCAGTGTGTGGTGTCGATCTAGTGTACAGCGCAGAGCACATAGACCTCAGATGCCTCAGATACTACCTTTTCCTAGCTACCACCTCAACGCCCCTTCAAGCACTGCAGAGAAGGATCCAAATCCCCGAAAAACGAACCACTGAGAAAGAAATCCAAACGCTGGACTCTAAATCAAACCCTGCCACCGATCGGCCTTGTCCCCGACCTCTTGCCAGCAGGCATATCGGCCCTCAGCATGGGCACTTCCACACAAAGTTTGGAAGAGGGCTTGAGAGCAGATGTGTGCTAGTTGTGTGGCGACGTACAGCTGCTGGAGCTATGATGAGGATGATGAGGATGATGATGATGATGATGATGACGATGATGATGATGATGGCGATGTCGAGGATGAAGATGATGATAATGATGATGACGATGATGGTGATGATGATGATGGTGGTGATGATGATGACGGTGATGTTGATGTTGATGTTGATGAAAATGGTGATGGTGATGATGATGGTTATGAGAACCGTGGTGCTGGGGCTGCTGGTCTTGGTAGTGCTGGTGGTGCTGGCGGTGATGGCGGTGATGGTGGTGAAAATGGTGTTGGGGGTTCCGGCAGTGCTGGTGCTGGCGGTGCAAGTGATGCAGGCGGTGCGAATGGTGCATGTGGTGCCAATGGTGCAGCTGGTGCAGGGATTGCCCCGCAGTGATGGTGGTGCTTGCTGCTGTGCTGCTGGTGCCGCTGGTCAACGACGAACACCACAGCCTAAGCATGCTACTGCTTGTACTCGTCCTGTGCCGGTACTAGTACTAGTGCCACCTGTAACAGTCGTCTTGTAGTACTGTGGCATGTAACGGGAGGTGCGTCGTACATTCGCAAGGTCTTTTGGCAAGCAAGCCGTGGCGGTCAAAGCACGGGGCCAATGCCACGGCCGGCACCTCCAGCAGGGATGAACCCTCGTAGGCACCAGCAGCGGCAGAAAGCCCTGTGAAAGCAGCAGCTCCTCAGGAGCACTGAGCCTGAGGACTCGCCCCGTGGAAAATGCAACCAAGTGCAGATTAGGGCGACTCTAGGGCCCCAAAAAAGCACATAAGCAAAAACTAGGATCCGGATATCCCATATAAATCCCCTTATAATGAAGCCCATAAGGTAGGGATATCCCTATAAAGAGGCTTATGCTTATGTGCTTTTTGGGTCCCTAATGATTCGGGGCTGCGCCGAGCGGTCAATGTACGACCAAGACTTTGGTAAGGTCGTACTTGCTAGCCAACCCCCAAAATGCGACCGTGTCGTTTGGCGACACATGCACGGGGCAGTGGTCATAGCCGAAGCAGAAGCGATCTCGTTCGAGATTCCCCGAAGAAGAGCAACCGCACGTCTCTGGACAAAACCAGGCCAAAGGCCGGAACAGCGCGGGATTTCCCCTGCACCACTCGATGTTAAACACATCGACAGGATTGGCCAGCAAAGCTGGGCAGCCGGCCTCTTTCGCCCAATTGACCCAACCTAGTTCATGGTTGGGGTAGTATTAAAAATTTAAACTCTATATTCCTTATTGGGTTTAAGTACCCTTAAAAATGTAAAATGTTACCCAACTATGACAAAGCAACCGATGAAAAGCTCGAGGCCCGGATTGAGGCCACTGCGGCCAGTGTAGTCGAAGCCCCCATATGCCGACGCAGCTTCCAAGTACCCATCCTGAACCACAGTTGGGATGGCATTGAACATGATATTCTTGGTGCCGTATATGCTAGCAACCACTACATATGATATGGATACATACATACCTACATAAATACACACATACATACACATACTTGCATGCATTCATGCATATATACATGCAAAGCCACGTATATGCACACATAATCACATAGACATATGCCACATTCCTTTAAACAGCGACCCAGCATCCCAGAACTTCACCCAGCCGGGCGAAGTAGGAGCTGCATCCCGGCAGGCCACCGGGGAGCTCGGGGGCGCGTAGTACTGCTGGCTAGCCGGGTTCAGGCTCATGCCGTAGGCCTCCTGGCAACGGTTTAGGGCTTAGGGTTTAGGGCTTAGGGTGTAGGGTTTAGGGTTTAGGGTATAGGGTTTAGGGTTTAGGCTTTAGTGTTTAGGGTTTAGGGTTTAGGGGGGTGTATGTTCATCCTGGATGCAGACGTGGAAGCAGCCCCACTTCTTCACGCGCAGCAGAGGCGACGCCAGGGGATCTGTGCAGCCACATACTCTTGGGCACGCCATGCGCAGCAGAGTCCCCGCTTGTGTCAAACTGTCACAGAACTGCTCCATGTCCTGACAGCTCGTCACGTTCTCTTGTTCGAGCTCGAATGCTGCCATCCGCACAAAGGACGGGAGAATAAGGGCTGATGAGTAGTCGGCATTATCATCCGCCGAATAACAGTTGGAAGTCTCCCTTGCATACTCCTCCAGAGTGGCTTGTGTTCTCTCGGAGAACCACGTCAGATCCTTTCAGGTGCGTGCAGTGCAAATCAGGACTTCTGGGCTTTGCTTGGTGCTCTTTGGCTGCGGCCCCTACAAGAGTTATACCGAAGCCAACCAGAACCATCATTCTTGTACACTCGGGCTGCCCCATAAAGGAATCGTGGGCCCTGCGAAAAGTAAGCTGGTTGGCTAAGGCGTTCGAAGACCCTGCAAATACGAATCACAATGGCGCTGATACTCTTCACTTCGATATCGAGGCTACTGCTACAGAGCCCAAAAGCCTCTTGTAGGCAACCAAATTCTGGGACTTGATCATTAGAAGAGAGCTGAAAAAAGATCCGTCCTCCGCCAACCACACAAGACGCTCCCTGTCAGGATCAGATTTGTTCCGGAAGGCCAAGTCCAAGGCCGCAATCTCACTGATGGTTGGGTTGGCCTGATCCTCCATTCTGCGCGTAACGAACCTTTGCTATTCTTGAGCGATTTGAAGCACGACTGCACGTTTCATAAGAGACTTGAGCTCAGCGAAGTTTGTTTTTACACTTCATGTAGTCCATGGCATCTGTTTGTGCCAGGCACCATACACAGCACTTCGTCCCTTATCCTAAGAAGGCATAGTTCTGCTTCGCCAGGTCCAGGGAAAGCCTTCCCTCATGTCAAACAACAGGTCCCATAGCAAATCATCATGTAGACGTATATGAATATGTGTGTAGGTGTATGTAAATATATAATATATAAGAGTAGCATACAACACCATACCTAGAACATATAGACTACAAAGCAACCTCACAAACACCAAAATTAAAAAAACAAAAACAAAAACAAAACATCATAGAAGCCATCTCAAAGCCCGGAGACCCCAGGGACAGGCCGTCGTTGACGGAGGTGACGAAGTCCAGGTCGCCAAAGCAGAGCTCCCGCTTCGCGAGCAGCATCTGCACCGAGGCCGGGAGATCCCAACAAAACAGGGTTTAGGGTCTAAGGTTTAGG